GTTTATGGCTGAAACGATTAATTGTGATTAATTGATTATTAATCAATTTCATTAATTGATTATTAATCAATTAATCTGGAGTCTACAGTCAAAAAAGGCCATTTGCTGAAAGAATGACATATTCAGAGAAAAAAACAATCCAAAACTGTACAAAAATTTAGCACATTTCAAATTCAAGATTTAAAAANAAAAGATTAAATGTTCTACGCAGAGCTTCTCAAGTGGTGTAGATTTAGCTTCACCTGGTTAAAATTCAGCAGAAAAGTCTCTTAAGCATTTTTGCTATCCAATTATTATTGATAAAAATATTGTCAGCAGATCATCCCTACTCCGTATTGTTTATAAGTCGAGCAGAAACGACTGAGCTTCTCACATGTTGATACAAATGATAAAGTGTTTATGGGGCTGGACAACAAATAGATTAATCTATCATACAAAATCCCAATGAAACCCATCAAACTGTGCGGTTTAAAATGTTGCGTTGTGATCAATAGATAATACATTTGATAGAATACTCAATATATAGATTATTCACTAAACTCCGATCCAGAACTGCACAGCATTCTGGGAGATGTAGGCAGAGGAAAGGCTTTAGCTTCTCAACAGTTGTACGGTGGTGGCCTCAGCTAGCTTTCTAATTCTTTGGTTACCTAGCAACAGCTTGCTGCGTAACAAGCAAGTTCCCGCCCAAATTTTGGTTACCTAGCAACGGCCCNAGTTCAGAATGCAAAGAACTTTTAAAGCGTTGCCACACTGAATCCCCATGTAAACATGTACTTTTCCAGTTTAAAAATCCCTCCATGCTGTCACATTTTCTAGAATTGCTGTCTCTGCACCAGGACGGCATTGTGTGTTTTTATTTGATTTTCAGTGATTGGAGTCTGTTCAACAAAAAAAAGATATAAATTTAAATTAATTTCACAAACATTCCTGTGGAAAATTAGAGACGTTAGATTTCTGCTGCCTCGAACTACTGAATAGACTTAAGACACACTGGTCCCGAAGTGCTTCAGTCAGTGAAGAAAATGTAGCTTTCAGGTCACTTTTAAAAGTCATTCAAACAGTAATTAATAAAAAGAGCCCTGGGAGGTTATGACATCACAACAATGATGTCACCAAGGGCACCCTTTGATGATTCATAGCCTCAAAGGGCTATGAATCATCAAAATTCTCTCCATTTGGCTTTTGGCCTTGAACCTGACTGACCTACATTTTGTTTTGCTCTGATATTTTTGGCTTTTCCCCCCAAGAAAATGTCTAAAATTGTGAAGGCGAAAGCAGCAGCTTCTATGTTTGATGCTGAAAAAGTCCGCAGGAAGAACAAGAGGGCGCTCCAGAAGCTCTTGAAAATCAACACAGAACTCGAGAACGCCAAGGACCTCAGAAGCTATTATCAAAATCGGAAAAGACTGGAGAAAGATGAGAAGGAGTTTTTCAAGGAATGCGAAAGACGGCTCTTTAAGCTGAATCTGGAATCTGACATCTGGATTGATGAGAGAGAAAAAGTGGACAATCTATGCAAAAGGAGAGAGCTGCTTTTTGACGTGATGGTAAAAACAAACGAACAACTACTTGAGGAACCTGTGATGAAATCTTTGAAAAGGGCCGCGCAGCAACAGCAGGAACGGCTGACATTTCTTAACAAAGAGTTAAGAAAAAATATTGGTGTCTTGTCTCGACAACTTGTACATCAAACTAAGCTATTTGATCAGTTCACAGAGATGGAAATGGAAAGCAAGGAGATCATGGAACTGCAAGACAGCTTCTTTAGAGAGATCAGGCAGAAATTAAAAACGTACGACTTGGTCACTGTGAAGCAGAAAGTAGCGGCGGAACAGGAAGAAATGAAGGTAGAAGTTGAAAAGAACAAGAAACTAGTGGAAATGATCAAAATGTTGAGACATCAAGCGACCAATGTGCCCATGTTGAAATACCAGTTTCTGTGCGCAGTAGATGAGAAACGAAGACTCACAGCCCTCAACGCAGAGTTAGAAACGGTGGTTGTGGTCTTAACAGACAGACTTTCGGATCAAACTTCCTGGGAGGTTGCTTACAAAGACATGGAGAAGAAGATCAGAGATTTGAAGCAGACTGAGAATGATCACCTGAAGAAGATTGAAGACTTGAAACCAAAAGTAAAACTTGGAACCAAAGTACTGATTTCCTCATTTTCAAAAGAGAACAAGAAAAACAAGAAGGTGACAAGTCGCTTGGCATACTTTGAGACTAAAATCAATAATCTCCTGAAGGAATACAAGGCCTTCCAACCAGAAATTGAGAAATTTCTGGGGGACCTTAAACCTCCTTTTGACACAGTGAAATTAGGAACTTCTTCAGCACAGAATTTGGATTCACCAGGAAATACTGTTGCAATCAGGAAACCAGAAACATTTTCAGAGTCATCTTCAAGTGACACATATCACGAGCAAGACAGCACTGACGAGTCAACAGATTCCAACCAGAAATATCCACAACCCACACCTGAACCAGAGGATGGAACAATAGATTCCTCCCAAAGAAGAGACAGCTTCTACTTCACGACTGAGGACACGTCTGAAAGCAGCACAGACGATTCAACAGATGCCTCCTGCAGAAGAGATAGTTTCTACCCCACAGAAGAGGACATGTCTGAGGATTCAGCAGATTGGCATGAAATAAGAAACAAACAGTTGAAGAAAAGTCTGAGGTCGATAGTCAGACATTCAAAGTCTGGAGCAGAATCAGAAGACTCAGATATTAATGAGAGCAAACAAAAAGCAGATTCTCGCAGGATGAGCGACAGAGTAAAAGACAAAAACCATCCAAAGAAGGGACGGTAGAAGTGCTTTTAATGGAGGGAGAAGAAGGATGGATAGAGGGATGGGCAGATAGAGGGATGGGTGCGGGAGGGATGGGTAGACTTTAGACTTTCTAGGTTCTCTCCGGGTGCTCCGGTTTGACAAACACCATACAAAAGCCTCCACAGCCTTAATTGGTCTCTCTAAATTACTCCTTGTGTGTTTGTGTGTGTGTGTGTGTGTGTGTGTGTGTGTGTGTATACAAATGTCAATCTGCATGCATTTATTCTTTTGGTCTTCAGATTTACATTTTATCAACATGCTTCCATCTCGTAATATTTTATCAAACTCCACCTCCCCTAGTTTCTTTTTTATTTCTCTTGAAACTGCTATCGGACTTGGATTAATATTCATATCTTCCTTCCTGAATTTAAGAATTACCTTAATTCTTCACCTGTTACTTTCTTCCTGACCACTCTGTTTTCTTCATCTGAGCTGCACTCTTCCAAACTTCGTTTACTATTCCGGCTACCAATTTCTCTATCCTCTTTCAAAACCTTATCTTTGCCTCTACCTCTTCCTCTGCCTGCCGGAGTCCAATCATCAACATCCATATAATCGTCTTCACCACCCCCATCTACCTTAGGCCAACCGCCAAAATCTGCTTCAAACCCGGTCGGTTTTCCAGGCGTGTCACCGTCGAAGAACCCTCCTCCAATCCTTATCCAGCCTTCTTCTTCTTCTTCTTCTTCTACGACGTTTTCTGGCAGTTTACAAACGTTGTGCATTACTGCCATCAACTGGACGGAGATGTAATTCAGAAATCTTTTTTTTTCAATCTTCAAATCAAAAGCATTCACACACATACTAAATCCTTTCAGCTAAGTTTGTAACTTTCAAATATTTAACAAGTGCTAGAATTATATCCTGTGATTGATGTTTCCTTAATAAATTAGCCATAGTTACTGAACTCTTTCCCTTTACCCTTTCCAATTCCTTCCTCTTTTATTTATTTTCTACAATAAATCAACACATGTTCTACTCCTTCTGTTTTCCTGCAATAAGAACAATCATATTCATATTGTTGAATTACCGCCACCTTCTGGATCATATGTAGATACATCACATGTAAATGTTTCTCATACAGTGCGAGTTGGGGACAGTGAAACAGGCTTTTCACTGTCTTTGGGTGAGGTTTTGGGTGCATGCATTGCATTGGTGGGCCATGGAGCCTCTTAAGATTATTGCCATTTACCTGCTATTTTTCATGTCAACTAGTTGCAGCTATCTGGTGGTATTCTGACAGCCTGTTCTGACCTGACAGAACACCGCGTGTTCTACATGGTCCACTCAGACTCAATATTCCCCAAGTCCCCAAACGTGTTTGAAGTTCTGCCGGAGATGGGAGTTAAATCTCCGTCTCACAGGAGACTTTGCCAGACGTTCCCAGCAAACCCTCACAACACGTTTGGACCTGACAGGTCTGACCGGCTTCCTCCCCCTCCACCGGAGCCAACTCACCACCAGGTAGTGGTCAGTGGACAACTCTGCACCGCTCTTCACCCGAGTGTCCAAGACATACGGGCACAGATCCGATGAAACAATGACAAAGTCAATCATCGAACTGCGGCCTAGGGTGTCCCGGTGCCAAGTGCACATATGGACACCCTTATGCCTGAACATAGTGTTCGCTAAGGACAATCCGTGATGAGCACAGAAGTAGAACAACAGAACACCTACTCAAGTTCAGATCGGTGGGGCCGTTCCTCCCAACCACGCCCCTCCAGGTCTCACTGTCATTTCTCACGTGAGAGAGAAATGAGAGCCATGCATCGAGGTGAGACCGACTATTTCTAGCCGGAACTTCTCAACTTCACACACCAGCTCCAGCTCCTTCCCCACCAGACAGGTAACATTCCACGCCCCAAGAGTCAACTTCTGCAATCAAGGATCAGACCGCCAGGCCCCCCTCCCTCAGCCACCACCCATTACACAATGCACCCGACCACTTTGGCCCCTCCTAAAGGGAGACCCACGTCTCCTCCTTGGGCTGAGCCCGGCCACCAGACGTTCGCCATCATGCCCCCCATACAGGCCTGGCTCCAGAGTGGGGCCCCATTGTTTAATTAGGACAAAAAAACCTAAGTTTAATTTACACAATGGACTAAGTCACACATATTTTGAACAATCAATGAAGGAAAACATGTTTAAATTGAATATTACATTTTCTCAGTAAAAGGGCAGGTTAATTTATTTGAAAATATTTTACATAGACTGGTTAATATAATTTGGAACAAATAACAGCATCAGTTTCATTATGGCTCTGTTTTAAAGACAAAGAATTTTTTAATACAGAAAATTTCAAAGTCCAAAACAATTAATGAAAATCCCACGACAGCACATTTTATTTTGGATTAAAAATGTATTCAAGTAAATCTCCTTCACCCCACTTATTGTCTCCCCACAGAATAATACAAATCAATCCTTCAAGTTCTTATTGTACATCTCTAAATATCAAAATGTCAAGATCCGAATTATAACATTTAACAAATTAGAAAATGTTACAATTTTCCCACTTTATAGACAAGAAAGCCCTTCAGTGTATAACGCCAGTTTACATCTGAATGACTTTTATAGTGAACCTCAACACAGGATATACATGGAAAATAGTTCTACGGCTTTTCACCTGTGTGAATCCTCATGTGTTGAGTTAAAAACTGATTTCGATTAAACCTTTTTCCACAGGTCACACATAAAAACGGCTTTTCACCAGTGTGAATCCTCATGTGCTGAGTTAAAGTCAGTTTTCGACTAAAACTTTTTCTACAGTTCACACATGAAAACGGCTTTTCACCAGTGTGAATCCTCATGTGCTGAGTTAAAGCCTGTTTTTGATTAAAACTTTTCCCACAGTTCACACATGAAAACGGCTTTTCACCAGTGTGAATCATCATGTGCCGAGTTAAAACCCGTTTTTGACTAAAACCTTTCCCACAGTTCACACATAAAAATGGCTTTTCACCAGTGTGAATCTTCATGTGAGCATCAAAAACAGATTTGAAATGGAAACGCTTTTCACAGATGACACATGAGAAAGGTTTGCTTCTTTCCTGATTTTGCTTCTCAGCTTCAGCAGCTTCCTGTTCCTTGTTCCTGTTTGGTTCTGATTCAGTGAGAGATGTTTGTTCATCAACAGGAACCACCATGCAGGTATCAGTCTCCTGTTTTAACTCAATCTGTTCTTCATCCTTACTGCAGTAAACTTTTTTCTCTTCCACTTTTATCTGCTGTTGTTTTAGATCCTCCTGCTCTTCTTTTATCTGATGATCTTCTGATTCTTCCTGGATTTGTTTCACCTGCAGAGGTTCTAACTCCTCCTGGTCCAGAGTGGATCTCCTCTCCTGGTTACAAAAGTTACACTGCAGGGAATCTGGAGAGGGAAACAGAAGAAAAGAGAAATTGTTAACTTTACTGAAGTAAATAGGAGAAATAGTTCATCGTTTAGGACAGAAATGACCAAAAAATAAACTTGAAAATTCAAGAGCGTAAACAGAGAGACAGATTAGTCATCATATCCAGCTGATATTTGGAGAATTTTCAAATGAATGGATTTTAAAAATACATTTTATTTATTACAAAATTAATTATAGTAGGGATCATTGTTAATGTTTAACACTAAATTGTATTATTTCAAGATATTTATTTTTACTACTTTGAATTAGGGCTGAAGCGATTCCTCAAATGATTCGAGTTCCTTGATTATTAAAATTCCTTGAGGAAAGTTTACGTGCCTCGAAGCTTTGTTAATTTATATTTTATTATTTATATTTTATTATTGACTGGAGTTGCCACTCATCCCATAAAATAGGGGTTTGTTTGTTATAAGCAGAGATGTCCGGTGCCGCCGCTGCTTTGTAATGCCTTCCTCTAATCGGACCACTTTTTCCGGTAACGAATAATCTAACGAGTTCGTATTTCAAATCCAGTAATCAGATTAAAGTTATTTATTTTTATGTCCTTTATTTTCCATTAATACAGAAAATGAACCTCTAAACGTTACATCACTGACAGGCGGCGGTGTATATGTTTCCTAACTGTGGCTAAAGCTGCTGCTAGCTGGTTTACTCATGATCGGAGGCTGGTTGGAGAATGGTAAATTGACAATGACTAATAACGGTTATCTAACACGTAAACACTGTTTTATAAAATACAGAAAGTGAACCTCTAAACGTTACAGCGCTGACAGAGAGTATATTTTTTCCTAAATGTGGCTAAAGCTGCTGCTAGGTGGTTTACTCTCCGATCGGAGGCTGTTTATTTTATACACAGTTAGAGAATGGTGAATTTACAATGATTAATAACAGCTATCTAACACTTAAATGCTGTTATTATTAAACTTACCTTTTATTATATCCTTAAGATTATGAGAATGCGGGAATTTTTCAGCTTGGTTCCCAAGGCAAAATCACACCGGAAGTAAAGATACCCAGGTTTGAGTTATGGCGGCCATTGTCTGACGTCACTGTGAAAAGGGTCTATAATGTTACGGTATTTAAATATAAGTAATGCAGCTTGGCCATTCAGGAGATGAAAACTGAATCTTTGAATGCCTGCTGGGAAAAAAAAACTGTCCAGAATCAGCGCAAAACCCGACCGGAGGCTCGCTTGACTTGATCCATCGCTCTGCCGTAGATACAGTTGTGAATCTCGCGGGGCATTTTGGAGGAGAAGCTTTGATGCCATGACTCCGGATCACATTAAGGCCCGATTGATGAACACGCACATAAAAAAATCAAAACAGGTTTTGTTCTTTGGTTTCAATGTAGAGTATTTAATTATGCTGTGTAATAATCGTAAAAAATAAAGGTAACTCTACTTCGCGGCTTTCGCTTATCGCCACTTATTTTTGGAACGCAACCCCTGGAAAAACTAGGGATCACTGTATTAACCTGCGTCCACACGCTGGCGTTTCCTACCTATCCGGTGTAAGATTATCCTGGGAAAATCCAGCAGTCTGCGCTGATCATCCATCTCTTCCTCCGACTTGACGATGATTCCTTTAAACTCTGTGAAAGTTTCTTCAGCAGCAGTTAACCGCTCGTTGATAAACTCGTTTAAGCTGGACTGAAGATATTTTTAGAGAAACACTTAAACATTCAACACAACAGACGTCTTCTTCTTCTTCTTTGGGATTTTATGATTGTCGGCATTTATGTCATTGCATTACCGCCACCTTGCGGATCATACGATCATCACATCTAAAGATTTCTCAGTTTTCTTTGAAAAACGTAAAATCTTTTCTTTCACTTTATCTAAATAAAACAAATACAATATCAGTATTCCAGTTTTCCACAAATCCAAAGTTAATATTGTCCTCTGACTCGTATCTCCTACATCCCGCAACATGTTTCACAGTTTCTTCACTTCGCCAGATAAGAACCTTTCCAATTGTATCCGTATATCAATGAGCGCTGCTGCTTTGTGGCTTATTGAGAGCCGATCAGCACCGGCTTGTACACTTAATTGTGCGGTGCTGGTGGTCGAGTGTAAAGGACTTTTAATGGTTTTATCTATTTTAATTTTCTATCGGTATTTTAATAATAGTTTGTATTTATTTCTCTCTCTCTCTTTTTTTTAGCTCTGGGGATTGAAGGTGGTGCGTTTGGCCCAGATGGTGATGCCCCCCTTTTGTTGTGGCTGTCCGTGATCAACATATTGTTTTTTATTACCATATACAACAAACATGGTATCGGCATCAGATGTACACAAACCTGATAAACCTGAAGAAGCAGACACAGGCTGCTTCCATAGAAACGAAAGAACAAAACAAAAACAAAAACTGAAACAAAAACATTAGGGGTTTTCCAACAGTTTCAGATTGTTCATCATATTATACAGTTCTGCATCTTGATGTTTGTCCATGAATTTTAGAGATAATAAGGGTTACCCATTAATCAGAAGTCCAGGTAGTTCAGGGGTTCTGTAATCAGGGATATCGTAAAAACATTTAGCTGTACGTTAAATATTTGGGGGTATAGCTCCAATAATTAGCTTGCAGTCCTTCATCTTCAAACTGTTTGATTAAATTACCTTTTCTGATATAGTGAGTTTTCTGTTTCCATATAAAGTCAAAATTCATCCTATTGATATTTGGTTGCTGAATCGGGTATTCCTAATTTATATGCAGGGTAGATAAGTCTGGAAATACTTTCCATTTTGGTGAGAAATATTCTTCCCAGAATAGATAAATCTCTGTGTGTCCATTTATTTATGAGTTTTACAATTTTGAAGTTTCTCCCAAATATTCAGATTTTCTAAATCATTTTTATGATATTTGACATCAGATTTGACAGGGATATTAAAAGCAGTAGATATAGGACAGTCTTTTAGAGGCAAAATTTCACATTTGTTTAAATTTAATTTAAGCCCTGAGGCCTTTGAGAAAGTTTCAATCAATTTGAGAATTTTGGGAATTTCATTCAGGTTATTTAAGAAGATGGTTGTGTCATCAGCCAGCTGACTAATAGAAAACTCTTTGCCTAGCACCGATAATTTACCAAATTGAGAATTTTTAATTGAAATGGAAAGCAAGGGGGAGATTGGACAACCTTGTTTTATACCTTTGTTGATGCTAAATCTTTGTGAGGTGCCATGTGGAGGACACACTGAACTGTTTGTCTCTTTGTAAAATGTTTCAATTACATTAATAAATTTATTTCCAAACCCAAATAAACCTAAAGCTTTGAACATAAATTCATGTTCTAACATATCAAAGACTTTATAAAAGTCTAAAAATAATGCAAAGCCTTCATTTTCAACTAAATGGTTACAGTCAATCAAGTTCAGAATAAAGCGAATGTTATTATGCATACAGCACCCTTTTATAAATCCAGATTGAGTGCCAGAGATAATCTGGAATATGCATGATTTTAACCCGTTAGCGACAATGTGTGTCAGGAGCTTGTAATCATTACTTAATAGTGTTATAGGTCTTAAATGATCAAGAAGAGTTGGATCTTTACCGGGTTTAGGAATGAGTGTGATGACACCTTGTTTCAGGTAAAAGTTTCTTTGAATATTAATTTTGAGTCTGTGCATGGTTTATTTTGCAAGCATTTTATTGCATTTCTTTCTTGTTTACTTTTTTCTAACCTACAGAAATATGCAGTACTTTTCTCACCATCCTAAATCCACTTTGCTCGGCACCTCAAATATGCTCCTGTGGCTTTTTTAGTATAAAAATCAGACTGTAGAATTTTTTTAGCGCTGTTTGTCATCATCATTAAAAAACGGTTTAGAGCAGATAAGACTAAGTCTGAATGATTTCTAATTCCTTTTCCTTATTTTGGAAAGATGTTTATTTGCTGTGTTTGATTGAGATTTGGAGGACTTTAAATTTAAAAAATTCCCATTTTTCTGTGTAAGAATTCAGATTTTTATCACGACAAATAAAACAGATGCTCCGGGATTTCGTTATTAAACTTTTCGTTGTTAAGCAGGGTTGAGTTAAATTTCCAGTAACCTTTGTTATGGGATTTTTTTCAGTTGAGTTGTGATACTGAGTTGTATCAGGCAGTGATCAGATAAAAGTGCAGGTGAAATTCCAGCATTTACACTATTTTGCATCAGACTGTCTGAGATTAGCCAGAAGTCGATACAGGATTTAGCTGAGCCATCAGGTTTGAACCAGGAGAAGGACTATTTTGAAAAAAAATATTGTGTGTATATTTTATTCAAATTTTGTGCTTTATCCATAGGACATGTTTTGTCCCTATTCTCAAGAATTGTACATTAAATAAGCAAATAATCAAACCACTATAGTCAACTAAAAGCACAATAAAAAAAGTGAATCAATAATAAAATGTTCTGTACTATATCAGTGTCAGGAGATGATTGAGGATGAAGAGACGCTGATTTCTGGTTCTTTAGGTTCTAACGGATCTGCAGTTCTCCTGATCCGCTTTGTATGATAGACAGCAGCACACTGCGCCACGATGGAAACATTTTTTAAAGTGTTTGTGTTCATCCTCACTAACATTATTAAGTCTGGGATTGGCGTCTTCCCTCTCACGTCTGTATCCTTACAACTTACGAGAGGTTTTGGTTTTAAGTACGGCGAAAAGTCGGGTCAAAGACGTTTTAAAAAGACGTGGCTGCATAGTGTCCGTCTCTAGGCAACCGTGAAAACAGCGTCGGTCCGTAGCGTTCTGGGGTCCTTTCGTTCCCGCCACGAGAATTTAGCTGTCCATAATATTTCCTGTGTTTTATTTTGGTCATTATTGTAAGTGTTGATGTGTGTTAGGTGTGTCTATCGGACATTTATAGAAATACGGAACAAGTCGCGTCCCGTATCGGTTCAATACATAACGCAATATTTAACAGCCAAATACGGGACGATTTCGTATTTTAAGGGACGGGTGGCAACTCTATACCCAACATGATGTAGCATTTAAGCTAACATTAGCTTTTGATTAATTGGGACAAAAAAGCTAAGCTTAACTTACTCAATGGACTGAGTTAATGTTATCCAACATGCTATATGCTAACATACCGCAACATGGTAATGATAGAATTTAAGCTAATATTATATTTTTAGCTAATTTTTTTTTACCTAAAACTAAACCTCCCTTAATCAATGGCTTAAGTCATGTTAACCAACACGCTAGCGTAAGCCAACATGATATTGATATTTAAGCTAGCAGTTTTCTTTTTTGACTGTTAGCTTATACACTCTTATTACTTCTCTATGGGTTAAAAGTCGTTGCTCTCTTTAATCCTAAAATTATTCAATATTTATTATACTTTACCTTTGTAAGCTTGATTCTGCACTTGAACTCAAATATTTCTGCATATTTCAGCAGTAGCGTTCAGCATTCACTGCATTTTCAAAGGAAATCCAAGTGATCAGGTGACTTTGTAAGGACTTAAACATATATCTATATGTATAGAGATTAAATTAGTTTAAACTCTTAAAAAAAGATAGTGATCTTTAACAGAAAACAGCCACAGCAGAAAATATAAAAAATATACAAAGACAAGCAACACTCCAAATTATTGGAGACAATAATCACACATATTTTGAACAATCAATGAAGGAAAATATGTTTATATTGAATATTGCATTTTCAAAGTAAAAGGGCAGGTTAATTTATTTGAAAAGCTTTTACATAGACTGGTTAATATATTTTGGAACAAATAACAGCATCAGTTTCAGTCTAGTTTTGCTTTAAAGACAAACCTATCAAAGAAGTTTTTAATACAGTAAATTTCAAAGTGCAAAACAATTAATGAAAATCTACAATTAGTGCACAACAGCACATTTTCTTTTGGATTAAAATTTCATTAAAGTAAATCTCATTCACCCAACTCATTCTCTCCATTCAGAATAATACAAATCCGTCCTTCAAGTTCATATTGTACATCTTATGTCAAGAACCAAATTATCACATTTAACAAATTAGAAAATTAAACCATTTCTCCACTTTATAGACAACAAAGCCCTATGTATAATTCAGTTTTTCATCTAAATGACTTTTATAGTGAACCTCAACAGAGGACATATATGGAAAATATTTCTACGACTTTTCACCTGTGTGAATCATCATGTGCCGAGTTAAATGCTTTTTTTGACTAAAACTTTTTCCACAGTTCACACATGAAAACGGCTTTTCACCAGTGTGAATCATCTTGTGCTGATTTAACGTCCGTTTATCACTAAAACATTTTCCACAGGTCACACATGAAAACGGCTTTTCACCAGTGTGAATCCTCATGTGCTGAGTTAAAGTCAGTTTTTGACTAAAACTTTTTCCACAGTTCACACATGAAAACGGCTTTTCACCAGTGTGAATCATCATGTGCAGAGTTAAATCCGGTTTTTGACTAAAACTTTTTCCACAGCTCCCACATGAAAATGGCTTTTCACCAGTGTGAATCCTCATGTGCAGAGTTAAATGCTGTTTTCGACTAAAACCTTTTCCACAGTTCACACATGAAAATGGCTTTTCACCAGAGTGAATAATCATGTGCTGAATTAAATTCCATTTTCCACTAAAACGTTTTCCACAGTTCACACATGAAAATGGCTTTTCACCAGTGTGAATTGTCATGTGCTGAGTTAATAGCGGTTTTTGACTAAAACTTTTTCCACAGTTCCCACATGAAAATGGCTTTTCACCTGTGTGAATCCTCATATGAATAATTAAAGACCCTTTTTGTCTAAAACTTTTTCCACAGTTCACACATGAAAATGGCTTTTCACCTGTGTGAATCCTCATGTGTGTAATTAAACTCCCTTTTTGATTAAAACTTTTTCCACAGTTCACACAAGAAAACGGCTTTTCACNAGCAGAAGTTTCCGTTTTTTCCACTGTGCCTCATAACAGCTTAAAAATAAACAGTTTGGAGTGAAAACTGCGGATAAAACAGGAAAGACCATGACACTAATTTGGCAGTATTTCATATAATTAAAACAAAAAGCAATAATCAATCATTTTTGATAATAACGTGATGTTTTTCAGCCCTAGCGTTTTCTAAAGGAATTTATTACATTTTAGGCAATAAAATGTTTACTTTCTTATTTAAAAAATGAATTATTTGTTTATTTGCTTTATTTTATGTATTTCTAATATTGCATTAAAAAAGGCTTAAATTATTTAATAAAAAAATCTGCAGTTTTTTTTTTATCCAGTGAATCGTCAGAATAATTGATAAAAAAAATAGCATTGAAAGCTTCCCCTCATCCACTCCTGTCAGACTTGAAAAGCATTGCACTAATAAAACAATAAATAAAAATCTCTTTGCAAGGCCTCAGTAAATATATTGTCATCATGAAAGTCTTCCAGTTTTGCTTACATCAGCCACTCTTACCTCCCACGCTGTATCCGCCTCTCATTTCCCATAAAGTTACAACATCCCTGGATTAAAGACTTTAGAGATGCATAAAATGTTTTAATAAGGAAATATTTAAATAATAAAAACTGAAAAGGTAGCCCTGTGTTTTGTAAAAGTGCCAAACTGATTAGAATATATCCCCCTAAAGGAAGAATAATCACTTCATTATTCCATCTGTCACCCTGGTTAGGGTTTTTGATTTGTGTGGAGCATTATTTACCAACGACGTGACGAAAATAAAAATGTAAAGTCACGACAGTGTGCTCTCTAAGCCTCCTGTAAAACCAGGAGCGAGAGGGTGTTACATATCGAATTCAAAGCACATTTATAAGTGAGCCTCCATAAATCTCCTTTACTGTATGAGAGGGGACCCGGTGTGGCTTAAGAGCAGCGAGGGAGAGCTTACCGGCACCACGGTTAGTGGGATTACTCCCTATTGTCGGTTTTTGAAAAGGTATAGCTCCAGTTTCTAAGCGGCTCTAAATTATTCAACAAACCAGGTGAGATTAATTGATTATTGAGCTCTAAATCAATGATAATCAGCGGTTCTGTGTGTAATAGGTGATCTTAGGTCTTTGTCTTGATCTCTGCCCCTGGAGAAATCTCTGAAATTGGCCCTCATCAGATTCACTAATCCTCGGTTTTTACCCGCCCGTCTTAGATCTTATGCTGAAAAGGTTGAAGGCATTTCCAAGTTTGCCTCATGCTGTTTTCCACTCGTTTGAGTGGAAAAGTTGCACTTATGACAAATGTATTCAGACCCCTGCCAACCTGCTCAGACCTTCAAACACACCAAGGTCTGATTTTATGCAAATTAAATCCTCATAAATGGTTTATGGGTGTTGTGCATGAAGGTAACAGCACCGTGGTGTTGCTGGTACCAACCCTGCTAGACTTTGCTCCTCTGCTAGGGCAAAGCCAATAATCTGTTATGCGGCATTGGTTGAAAAAGCCTCTCTGCTGGTGCTAGGCTTTGATTACCAAGACACTTCAGACTCACCTTGAATAATGCATAGATCAGACTCATCTGTTTTAGCAAAAGAGATGCTGCTTTCTCTTGTGTTGGCCACAGTTTGGAATAATCGTGGGATTCTTCATCTTGGAATCAAGAATTCAAAAATCAAGATTTCATGAAATCCAGGGAAAAATATAGTCCAATGAAAACAACAGGAGATTCGTTCATCCATTTTCCATACCTGCAGAATCTGGATACTAACTGAGGCTGTGTTAATTGTTGAACCGTATTTTGGAGTTCTCTTAGATAGACTTCAGAAATTATATTTAAAAAGTCACCTTATAACAGTCCACTTCACTTTTTGCACGTTTTTATACTCGCATTTAGGTCTCAAGTGCTTCTAAAAAAACACCTAGTCATTTATTTTTCTCACTAAGTGAATGGTTTTTGGAAAAATGAGCCGTATCAAAAACCTCCTGATGGTTGAGTCCCACTGCGCCGTTACCTAGCAACCCCATCCCAGCCCAGTCCATTACCTAACAACCCAAGTGGAGCTCCAGATTGTTTGGTCAGCTGGTTTTTACCGTTTTATGTGCTGTACAATGGCTGCTGGAAAAGACAAGTGTTTTGTTGTGAAACTACTTGATGCATTCTTGTTGGCTGTGCAGGAGGCTCCACTTCTGCTTTTCAAAGATGTATGATTGCGCATCTTTTTGCAGCTATTTTCACGTGCGAGTGTAAACGTTGAGTTGGAGGGTGTGGCCAGCAACAGCTTATTTGGATTTAAAGTGACAAGAAACCTTAAAACAGCTCTTACACAGAACTGAGCAACTAGGTTCTCATTATCTAAAAATGTAATGAACATGTTTTTTTATAGCTCATATGCTTATATTAGCCTGTTCAAGGAAACATAACAGGTCACCTTTAATTAATTCTTGTCCCATATCTGACCCACGAAGCGATGCAATCAATGCTTTGGCTGCTCTGCCAGATAGGCCAGAAGTCATCTCTTGGACTCTGGATGAACTCAATCTGTACAGTAATTTTTCTTTCTCGTTCATTCTGAACATAAATTATGCAGTCAACTCCTACATTTTTTTCACAAGTGGAATACAGATGCACACTTGCTTGGATTCATTCAGTCCAGTTCTGTGGCTGGTATTGCAGAATAAAAGTCCACATAACAACAGATTTTACTCATTTTTCAGCTCACATCTGATTCAAAATTGTGATTGTTTAAGGTTTTTATTTTCACTTTCAGACGTCAAACGTCTGATATTTACCATCCTAATGTTTGTTTTGCTGAAACATAAATAGTGAGGCTGTGGACATGTGACAGGTGGTCTGTTTCCATGAGGATAGGGCACATGCTCATTACCATGTGCTGAATGCATACATTACATCTGACACACTGCTGGTATCAAGGTGATCACACTGAATCTCATTTTGGGGTTCGGGTTTGGTTGAGCTGAGGTACGGCAAGCAGTGAAATAGATGTTACCAACATAGCTCTGTGCATCAGAGTGCAGGTCACTGAACCTCTTTGGCACAAAAATAACCTAACCAATAACGGAAAGATCTGTTGTATGTTTTTCATTTACAACAGATAAAAAGGATGGTTTTCTTCCATGCATAAATTACAAAGTAAATTTCTAGTGCAGGCTGCTAAAAACTGGACACGGTAACATCAGTTAGGCCTTTCACAATAATAGATGTTGCTGGACGATAAATTGTCCCTGAAATGTCCAGAGAACATTTTAATCTAATATAAAGATAATGGCATAGTAATGCAGGTTTGCCCTCTCATAGACTAATAAAGATTAATTTATTCCACACTGGAACTGGAAGACATTTTAAATATCCAAAATAAAATACAACAACCAAAAATAAAAATTAAATAAAAACATTTTCTACATTTTCAGCTGGTGTGGTTCCCTTCCTCGCCTGTGGGGGCGCTGCACCAAAAACCAGTGAAGGAAACGACACAAAAACCTCTGCAGAAGACATGAACGCAACTTCCTTCTTTTCAAAATGTAAACAAAACTGGAGTGGTATCAGATTTCAGCGGTTGTAGGTTTTCTGTTTTGACTTTGGTTAAAGACAACAAGCCATTTCCTTCGCTAGCGCTACAATCACACATTTGTTTTGGTTATATTTACCCAGAATGCCCTGTGCTGTAGTCCACTTCCTTCTTTTGTTGTGGTTTCCAGTCCATTTGGTGTTCACATCTGCATTCGAACTGCACCAGAGTTCACTTCAACGGAACCGAGACCAAGGTTTTTAAGTGGACTAGAGTTCGCTTTTTTCGGTCCACATCAAGCGAACCGAACTTTCAAGACAAACGAACTAGAGTTGGATTAAATCAGACTAAACAGGGTTGGTGTGAAAGCACCCTTAACTAGCTTCTAAAGGTATGTACTATAGAACTTCATGGTATTTTACTGAACGATAATTTATTTGTCAAATGCTGGGAAACAACACAGGCGAGAAAAGGTGACAATAACTCCCAACATCACGTCATCCCACCGATGGCGTCACATTGAGGATTATCACGGCTGCTGAATTCCCTAAAACGTAGCCAAAATTGTGTGTGGTCGCCTTTGATTCACGTCCAGGGCCGTTGACGGATCTAGCTTTGTCTTTTGAAATGAGAAACGAGCTTACACAATCGTTTTGAAAAATCTGCCTGCTTGTTTCAGGAGACGGGGCGGAGGAGAAACTAGCTTTGAAGCTATAGCAGAGTGTGACTGAGAGGATGACACTGTCTGTGGGCGGTAATTGTTTGAAATGACTATCAGAGAGGAAGGCTGCGTTTGACTGTGATTCACTTTCCAGGCATTAGAGTGCAGCCAGTTGACCTCAATTAACAGCTTAAATGGCTACCATGTTATACAGCCGCACACACACCTTTCTTTCTACTGTACAGATATTGTATTTTTTCCTCTGGGATGTAAAAAGTTTAACAAATTAGACTGTTGCTTAGTTTAATTATGTTTTTTCTAGAAGTGGCCTACTTCAGGAATAAGCATAATTATGATTTATGATCAGGTATGAATGATACAGCATCATATAAATGGAGTAAAACTTATTGATTTATTGAAAAGAGTTACAGTTCATTTAAAAAGTATTAACTAAACATGCAGACTGGAAATACTTTATGAGCTAAACCTGAGCTAAAATTGCTGCTGCTTCATGAAAAACTTGACAGCTAAGGCAACAAATGGGACAAAAATCCAAAAATTAGACATGGGAGAT